AAAGAGCAGGTTTTGACTCCAGGGCTCTGGCATTTTGAACTCCTGGCCCCAACTACTGCAATGGGTGTTTGGGTAGTTTGCCAAGGGAAGGAGGTGCAGACCCAGGGGAAGAAGCAAGATGTGCAGGTCCTGGGAGCCCAAACCCCAGTGGGTATGTGGAGATGGATGCTGGACACATGGCAGTAGTCACAAACCCAGAGGTGGCCACAGCACTTCCTCTGATTACTTCACATCTCATAGCTGGAATAAGGTACTTGTTTTTAGAAAGCTGTTGGATTAATTCAAAACTTCCTTAGCTAGAGTTTGCCACAACCTGATCAGACACTTATTGTCACACTAGAAATGTGACTGTATTTTTGAGTCAACCGTGGGATCTCGTGTCACCTCTGTCCTTTGGAGTGGGGATCCCTCACCACCACATTTCCATTCCTGGGTAGGTACTTGGACCCAAACACAGCTGTTCTAGATGTGGTTTTGGAGCTATGCTGGATGGATAAACTCCTGCAGGTGCCCCAACTCCATCTGCTCCAGCTTTCTGGCTGCCCTGGTCCCTCTCCCATGAGCCATATGCCAGCCCAGGAGTCACCCCAGGCTGAGCAGGACCAAGATTGAGTGTGGTGCCAACTCTTTTGCTCCTCAACATGATCCTGTTTGATGGTGGGACTTGGCTTCACTACAAAAGTTTGGGTCTCCTTGATGTGACCAAGACCATCATAGCTGGACTCCCAAGTGGTGGGTAACATTTACCACATCTTAAAATTCTGTTATTTACAAGGCTCAACCTCCTGGGACTTTGACCCAGGCCCAAACGGTCCTACTGTAGGAGAAAACAATCTCAGAACAGTAACTTAGGATGTTTTATTTCATTCAGGCTTATTTGTGATTTTGTTTTAGACTCTCAAACACTGCTAGTCCTCCAGTGTCTTCCAACTGAAATTTCTGATAAGAACTAAAATTTTCAGCATATATTGAAAAAACAAACAAACAAAACCAACAACCGAGCCCACAACTGTTGTTGCTTACTTTTGTTTTCCTGAGAGCCACAGCAAGATGCAAACAACGTTCTGCTCTGGTAGCGAGTGATAGAACTGTAGCGAGGCCACTACCCCTTTTCCCTCACTCTTTGTTGTGAGCATGTGGAGGGCTGTAATCACAGAATCATCAAATGGTTTGCATTGGAAGGGACCTCAAAGCTCATCCAGTCCCACCCCCTGCCATGGGCAGGGACACCTTCCACTATCCCAGGTTGCTCCATACCCCATCCAGCCTGGCCTTGGACACTTCCAGGGATGGGGCAGCCACAACTTCTCTGGGCAACCCGTGCCAGGGCCTCACCGCCCTCAGTCAAGAATTCCTTCCCAATATCCCATCTAATTGCTTCCCCTGGCAGTGGGAAGCAATTCCCCCTTGTCCAAAGGCATTTCCCCCTGTCCCTGCTGGCCCTTGTCCCAAGTCCCTCTCCAGCTCTCTTTGAACCCCTTTAAGCACTGGAAGGGGCTCTAAGGTCTCCCTGGAGCTTTTTCTTCTCCAGGTTGAACAATCCCAATTTTCAAGGTGACGGGTTTATTGCTGGAGCCTGATGGCACCACAGCAAGCACAGGGAGCAGCAGCAGAGCCTGTCTCCCGAAGGATTTGGGCTATAACCCTTTCTGTGGTCGGCAGGGCTGGGCTGGTGCAGGATGAGCCCTTTGGCTGCCACAGGGGTGGTGCCATCACTGCTCACCTGCCACTTGCTGGTGTCTCTCAGTCTCTTCTCCAGAATAAGGTCTGTAATTAGACTTGTAAATGAAGGTGGTTGAAATATTCATGACTTTATCAAGGCAGTGTGCAGAGGGCTCCGTTTTTCACTGCATTATTGAGGCCACTGAAAGGCTGGCACCGAGGTTTAATGCAGAGGTTGGTACAGGTAAAGCATTTTGTGTTATGAATACATATAATAATTGCAGATAAAGTGGACAAAATGAAAAATAATATGGACTGAAGCAGTGTGGCTTACCTGCTACAGAGGATAAAGTTGTTGAGAATCTCTAGGTTTGCAAGGGACCAAAATGCCCATTTTCATGTCAAATATGTCCTTGGTGGTAGATTCAGGCTGCTGCTGTGTCAAAGCAGGGGAGTTTTCTGGGCTGAGTTAGAGAGCATTTGAGACAGGGCTGTTTGGGTATTTATTTGGGGCTTGATGTGGTTATACTCTCACTTCTGAAAACTTAATTTACCGTTCAACTTTTCCTCTGGATTTGGCTCAGAGGTTTTCGGTAATTTTGTCTTGCCTTTGGCTCTGCTTTGCTGAGCAGAGCGGGGGTCTAAACCAGAGTCCCTTGGCTATGGAACAGCACATTTCTGGACTCAGAAAAGGGATTTGGTAGGAGCTGCAGGTTTGTGTGTGGTGGGGA